TCATGGAATTCAATGGACAGTGCTAAGTACATTGTTATAACAAAGTGATGGACACTAAATAGCTAAACTCCCAGAATTCAATGGACAGCGCTGAGTACATTGTTTTCCACAAAGTGATGGACACACTAAACACAGCTTAACTCACATGGATACACTAAACAGCTAAACTTATGGAATCCAATGGACAGTGATGAGTACATTGTTATGAACAAGTGATGGACACTCTGACCATCTAAACTCCCAGAATTCAATGGACAGTGCTGAGTACATTAACAACAAATTTTATCTGACCTTTATGGATATATGCTCTGCTCTCGATTTGTATTGTTTTAATGGTCTTTTGAGCTTGATTACTGTTTGTTATCTCCATATTTCATGTACCAAATGCACCACCACATTTTATGTAATTGAATAATTTCTGACAGGCATACAGAGATCAGGGACAGACTAGAAACCTATATTCTATGGAAGAAAAAGTTGCATTGTTACTTAAATATTGTCTGTCTGTTTATAAGTGATTTTCTCTGTTCATTTTATTTTCTTATAAAGATTTTTAATGATCAGTTATTTAAGCTTTAAAAAAACAAAGGACGTAATGTTTAATCAGTGCTTGTCTGAATATTTAAGGTTAAAAGCAAAGGAGTTAAAAATAGTTTTTTTTTAAACTTAACCAAATAGGACAATAATATTCTATTTTCCATCAAGTACTAGTTGCAACAAAAATCGAAGCTCTCTAATAATTTTATTTTTAAATAGTAAATACAATGTATTTTGAATTCAAAGTGTCACGTTTTTCAAACAATTACAATGGACTATTCATAGCAGTTAATTATACCTCTTTTTCTTGACTTAAAATATATTTAGAGAAAAATGTTTTTCATCCACTTAGCTTTAATTTATTCATCACAAAAAGTAATGTCTTCCATTTTTTTTTTCAAATCAAAACTTAAAACAATTTTATTGTTTATTTGAATGACAATTTCAGCTTAAGTGAAAGATTTTTTTTTTAACAATGCTGAATTAAGAAGATAGGACTGATCAGTCCCCCACCTTTTTTACATTCAGAGGAACAGATAACAGGAAATATCTTTTAGGATATAATCTTCTCATATTAGCTCATTTTTACTTTAAGATTGATTTTTTTAAAATGATCATTCAAAAAATTTCTTTCTTTCTGAATTATAAGGAAAGTATCCTTATTCAAAATTTAAATATGAAAATACATCATACAAAGTATATATTCTTTTCGTATGTTAAAATATAGGCATCTTATTGACAATTTCTTTTGTTCTAAATTTTTGCTATTTCACATTTTTTTTAAAATTTATTTTAAACAGTATATACACATTGCTACTTGAACAGTAAATTGCCAAAATCGTACAAAAATTGAAAAGCACAGAAATGACCTTTCTGAGTTTTAAGTAATTTTCCTTTCCGTTACTGTTATTCTTTTAATGTATTCTCTTTTTCTTCCATTTTTGTTGTTGCTGAAAAAGTCAATATTTTGATTTATTACTCTCTCTTTTTCTTTTAAATTCAAACAGAATTATATTTTTCTCCCTAGGTACTTTTGTGAAAAGAAAACTGATCAGTTCCCTTCCTCTCCTTCAAATTGCTTAATACGTGTAGTATGGCATTTTTTTTCTTTCTTAATAAAAAGAAGTCAAGTTCATGCAAAATGTTCCCTCATAAATCACATACATGTAGTTTGAAGTAAATGTGTATTTTATTATAACATATAATTATTTATTATATCCATATAAATGCTATTAGTGTGAATTTGCAATTTCATTTCATTTCATCGAGCAATTTTGCTATATGATTTTTTTTTAATTTTTACATAAGTAATAATTTGAAAAATGGATAAATTACCTATTATGCAGCTTTTTTTTTTTTTTTTTTTTTTTTTTTTTGGTTATCAATACTGTACCTTTCCTTTTTTTATTTAGTTAAGAAGAATATTTTCAATCTTCTGTTAATATGAATTTGAAAACCTAATTAAATTGTTAAAAAATCTGATATTTGTAATAAAGCTATAGTTCTCTTTTCTATTTTTCACTTGAAAAGATGGATCAGTCTCTTCTTTTTTCACATTTAGAGGGGAAAAAATGGCAGGGGATGTCTCTAAGACTTTGTCTCACCCCTAACTCAATTTTGCTTCATTTTGATTTTTCCCCTAACTCATTTTTACTTTGATATTCATTGATTCATACAGCATTTTATATATTCATACATCTATGAAATTAGAAAAGTTTGACTCGTTTTGAAATGAAAAAAGAAGTCACCTTCAAGTTTTCAGCTTGAGGAGCTTATTGTTATATATTTTGAAATTCTTTTATTTTCTTTTAATCATAAACTTTATGAAGGGCAGTACCGGTAGATTTAAGTTTCTGCAGTTTCATTTTCATTTCCTTAGTCAAGTTCATTTCGGATAGCAATATTTATTTTGATATTGTATTTTTCAATAACTTTACAAAAACTGCAAAAATCAGATAATCAAGTAAAATTATACCCATTAAATTGCACATATAATTACACGTTTTGCATAAGTTAGATATTCTGAAATATTTTCTTCTCTTTTAAATTTTCAAAGGTAGTGAAGTATAAATTTTATGTCTCAAAACTCTCCTTTCTCTTTAACTTTTTTTTTTCACTTTCATGCAATATATTAGCAATTCATCGTTTCAGGCATAAGTTTTAATTTCGGGTTTGAGAAATATACATGATATATACATGTAGTAAAAACCTCCCTCCCTCCCTCTGCTTAGTTCTTTGTATAAAAACACCCATTAACTTTTTCATTAATTTAATAGTATAAGCAATATTAAATTAGTACTTTAAAATAACATTGGATAAACAATATGTTAGCAACTTCACATATCTGAATTATCTCTGACTGTGTATAAGAATTTGATATTGATAATGACGTTGTTGATATATTTAAGTATAACATGATTACCTTTTTGATTTCTTTTTTTCTTTTTTTATCCACTATTGGTAAAATATTAATTGGCAATTTAGTTATATAGATAAATTGTATACTGTATTCCTCATTAAAGCTGTAAATTTTGAAGCTGTGCATTGGGTTAATTGAATCCAAGATACATGCATTATTTGCATTTCTAGTTGTATTTAGAAACACATATAAATTATGAGCCTTATTGTATATTTACCTTAATGTAGGAGAGGGTTTGTACATTGTAAGACTGTCCATAAGCTTGAAATTTTTATAGAGCAGGGTAACCAAGATATGTTTTACATCAAAGAACTGACTTTTTTTTATCTTGACCTTTAACCACAGGCCTGCAATTGTTTTTAGGATAGAGTCATCAGCTCAAGTTTCATTGCCTTTTTAAATTTTAAATCACTTTTTGATATGCCAGCCAATACATTTAAAAAAAAAATTCTCTGCACTGATTCTTGAAAAAAAAAATACAGTGATCTCTTAGTTAAATTATTACCTTTTGATATGTTTCAACATAAACATTCCAATAAACCAAATCTGAGTTCTTACTTTTTTTCTCTCTCTCTTTCTCTTTGATTTGCACAGCAGGCCTTAATGTACTAATTATTTTTATCTTTTAATGTAACAGTTTTCATTTGTTTTGGATGCTCTCTCCACAATCTTTTTTTTATTACAAAAGAATTTATTGATAATGTTGTATATACTTTGCTTTGTACATTTTAATGTTATGCACAATGTGCAACTAAGTGCACAAGTACCGGGTAGTAGAGATAGGTTTTCTAGAGATTCATTTTTTTCTCTTGTTTTTCCTCATAAGCATGACAAGTAATGCAATAATTGTAAAAAAAATGTTTTTCCCATTGTTATACATGATGCTGTGTTCCTCAGTTAAAATTTATGATTCATATTAAAATAAACTATTTTGTTGTCATGCAATTAAACTTGTTGAGTTCTCACTGAGTCTAAAGGCAGTCTAAGATATCTTTAAGGATTTATCACAAACCTCCCTTTACTCTGAAATCTTTCATCTCCCCCTGACCTCTAAAGGGTGGGGGTGGGGGAAGGGTTAAACTTATTACAAGGATTTTTTTAAATATATCAATATGGGAGTTTTTGATTATATTATAATAGAAACTGGGAAGGGGGGGGGGGGGGGGGGGACTGGCCTTTCAGTGATCAATCTTATACTAAATTAAAGTGAAAGATAAGTTTAGAGTTTGGAAAAGGGGCACAATCCCCCCCCCCCCCAATACTGATCATGAGTACTACATGCCTATGATTACAATGTACATCATACATATAAATAATAAAAAAAAAACAGACTGTTATTCCTTATTAGCTCACCTCAGCTGAAAGTTTAAGTGAGCTTTTCTGATCACATGTTGTCTGGCGTCCGTCTGTCCGTCCGTTTGTAAACTTTTTTCACATTTTCGACTTCTCAAGAACCACTGGACCAATTTCGACCAAACTTGTTTGCGTGAAGGGAATTCAAGTTTGTTCAAATGAAGGGCCACACCCTCTTTCAAGGGGAGATAATTAAGAATTGGTGAAAATTTGGTGCCATCTTTTAAAAAATCTCAAGAACCATTGGGCCAGAAAAGTTGAAACTTACATGAAACCTTCATTACATAGTGTAGATTCAAATTTGTTAAGACCAGATGTGAAGAATCAAGATTGGTTTTAAAGATTTTCTTCAATACTGTGATCCCCATTGATTTTGAGGTGAAAGGGTCAAAGGTCAAGATCACAACGATGTTTCTGGATAATATCTCAAATAAATTTAAACGGGAGACATAAATTCATGGAAGTAACTAGAGGCGTGTGTTTGCCAACTTATAGGCAGGGAATCATTTTGTTCATAGTGTTAATTACAAATAGTTTATGATGATTACTAATATATTTTAGTAGTATTTCGGAGTTTGTAGAGGGTCCGGTAGACAAGGCGAGTACAATACACAGGACCTGTTGTAACATATACCAATAATTGTACAAAACAAATACAGATCATCTATGCGGATAAGTGCATGAGGATAAAATGGATTTATTAAGCGTACTCGAGCACACACTCTTACCAGGTATTATTAGAACAATATTTGATAGTTAACGATGACAACTAAATGATTTTTTTTTATGAATGAATGTGTAAAAATGGTTATTAAATCAACTTATATTTTAGACCAAAAAGTGTTAGATGATGCACAACAAGTTTTAGAACAAGCTGCACAGTCTGATCTAGTAAGTTGGCTAATCTTCTTTTTGACCTCACTATATCGCATTGCATGTGCATGGAAATTTTTAAGTTAATGAATACCGTATATCATCGGGTCATTTTGGAGAGCTGCAAAAGTTGGTTTATAATAATTCGCGGGTCAAAAAATAAAAACGAAAAGAAACAAACAAAACAAAGCAACAAACAAAAGCCAAAAAATATAAAGAACCAATTTAAACCGTTATTATTCAAAGTACATGTATTAAAAATGAAAAGATATAATTAAGACGCCAACAATCCAACTCCCTTATTAAATTTGCCAGATACTCCCGATGCAAAATTACTACTACCTGATATATATGGTATTTAATTTGAAGAGCATATAAGGAATACTATATCATTAAAGTTTAAGACTATACAGATATATTTGTTTTGAATTCACCGTCTCGGCTTTCTGGATTTTTCTGATTTATTAAACATCTTTGAACGAGACTATGTTGAAGATTTTTATCGTCAAAACTATATATATATACATGCATAATCTGTTGAAAATAAAAATCTCGAACAGAGAGTGGTTTAAAGTTCAACCTGGTCCCGTTTAGTCTCGTGCTTTACTCATAAATGCATTAAGGTTCATAAACCCTCTGCTCACTCATATAAAATGTTGTTTTAAGTTTTATGATTTTCCAAAACAAAAGTATTTTAGAAGTAAACTACAAACAATTATACTATAGCTTGCGGGGCAAAATTAAACAAAAAAGACTCTTCAACTTGACAAATCTGTAAAGGAATAATAGATTTTTATGTCAATAAGAGTTATCTCTCTTATCAGAGTATCAATGAACCTTAAGCGAGTTTGCTTTCAAGGATTGCAAGTAAATGATTTAAACAAAGTATTCTCCAAATACACGGTTAATTGGAAATAAATTTTAATGTTAACAGGAACGCACTGATTGATAAACATCCTTGTATATTACAAGTTCTGTAATATTGTTACAAGAATATGTCTGTGCAGGAAGTCTTATATGTTCGTGTCCTGATCGGATCATAACTAAATAGGTCATTCACCCAAAGAGTGGAAACTGTCAATGGATCCTGTAAGGACTTGCACCACGCTTAGAAACGGATCTCATGCGAAAAAGGAGTACCTGTGAATAAAAATTCAACTCTAGTTTGATATGAAATCAACAATGGGCTAGATAGTTTTTCTCGCGATGATTATTTTCCCAGAATCCCCTGTAATGCACGTCTGTAATGTAATGTAACGTCTCGAAATAAATGAGAATTTTTTCAAGTTAAGTTCCGACTCGAACTACATGTACATGTATTTTCCACCTCATGTTTGCGATTCTTGAAATTATTTTTTAAATTGGTTGAATCAGACATTGCTGTTTTCATGTTTCTATAGAAATAGAAAATACTTCAGCTCGGGTATCTCTCTCTAGCAACTATTGTGAGATCTTCGTTCTTTTTTTTGTGTGTGTGTTACTGATTTGTTTCCTAAGCATCTGCAGGGGTTTTCCCTCAGTCAGTAAATATACCAACCAATTGCTTTTGAATAAACATATTCAAGCGAATATGCATCTTCCCCTTCTTGTAGAAATCTATTTACCTATTTATCTCGGTAGACCTTTATCTGATTAATATTTTTAAACTGATTTGAAATAATTAACGTACATTTGTGAGAGCTTTGAATTAAAAAAAATGGTGAGCAAAAAGAGGGAGCCTCTTAAGCTCTCACAAACTCTTTATATTTCACAGCCAAACCATTGATTTACTTTGAAAATCCTGGTATAGGCACCAAAATGACTTAGAGGTGTAAACCAGTGGAAAGTAATAGACGTCTTTAGTTTGATCTAATTATAATCAGTATTTGTTTTTCTAAATTATACAGCAGCATGCTCAACAACGCATAGGTGCTGAAGTTGAAATGCTCTCTTGGCGAGTTAGTATCGTGCTGCAAAATGTACAATAAATGCTAGTAAATCAGAATTCTGAAAAAAAAAGTTTTTAAAATTGCAGTTATAAACGACGTATATTTGTTTGTTTGTTTGGTGTTTAACGTCCCTCTCGAAAATTTTTCACTCATATGGAGACGCCTCCACTTACCGGTGGAGGGATGCAAATTTAGACCTATACTCGGCACTAAGGGCCATTGAGCAATGAGGGATCTTAGTGCGCCAGCACCTACTGCGACAAGGGACCTCGGTTTATACGGTCTGATCCGAAGGACGACGCATTTAGTTTTAATAGCAAATGTTGGAGAGTTGTATTTTACAAATTTTGATATACTAAGTAATTTCCTACATTGACATTAAACTTTCAAAGGACCACTTTGTGTTATTGTGTCTTACTTTTCGACTCATTTCAGCACGGTTTTCTGACATCTCTGTCGGGGATCTTGAACAATATCGCCAATAGCAACGCTGGACGAACGCAGGCTGGGCTACAATTGAAAAATCCCCTGTACTTAAATGATTCTGGTATCAATGCAGGATATCAACAGAGATGGCTGTCACTTCCGGAGGAAGTCAGAGGAAGAGTAAAAACAATTGTAAGCTTATTGCATACAGTTTTTCTTCTGACAAATAAGTCTCTCTTTCTCTCTCTCTCTCTCTCTCTCTCTCTCTCTCTCTCTCTCTCTCTCTCTCTGTGTGTGTGTGTGTGTGTGTGTGTGTGTGTGTGTGTGTGTGCGTGGGTGTGGGTGTGTTCCGAATTCTGGATAATCTCATTCCAAGATTTTTTTTTTGTGACGTAGATTTTGGCTTCACTGGGAACAGAACCAATCAGCCCAAGCACAGCGGCCCAGTGTGTGGCCTATATAGCATGTGCCGAGCTTCCATCGGGTTTGTGGCCAAACTTGATAGCCTTGCTAGTCATCAATGTTACCAACCAAAACACAACTGAGGAATTAAAGGAAGCCTCTTTAGAGGCAATAGGCTACATTTGCCAAGACATCGTAAGATTTAGAATTTTGAGGATTAAGAGATCCATTCAAATGATCTGACATGTTTTTTTTAAAACAGCATTTATTTGTGTTCTGATTCTATTTATTTATTTGTTTGTTTGTTTTTAGTGTATGTTTAACATTTTTATTTTGTTTTTACTCTGTTTTCATAAATTTTCCCCGAGATCAACGGGGTTTTGGGGAAAATCGTTTTTATGTAAATTCGTGGGCAGTTACCTCTTCCAATTCTTTAATTAAATTAAATAAAATTTGTTATTAGTAGATCACCCAATTTCGTGGTCGTGCTCAACGATAAAAACATTAAAAATTGGTGTTAAGTGAAAACTGATGAAACCACGTATTTTTTTTTTCTCTGAGGTAAATATCTGCTCACGTGATTTTTTTTAGGATCAAGCTGTTCTTCAGAGTAAATCAAATGAAATTCTAACAGCAATTCTTCATGGAATGAGACAAGAACAACCCAGGTAATATTTTCTGTGTGTTAAAAACAAAGTTCAAAATTTAAAAGCATTTTCTCTTTTAAAGGTTAATAAGCACATCTGCCCAATATATGGTCAACAATGAATTTCTGACTCTTCCTATAATTTTAATTCTTTATTTTTAGTAACCGTGTGAGAGTTGCAGCTGCTAAAGCATTGTGGAATTCCTTGGAATATTTAAAGGCTAATTTTGACAAAGAGGTAATTTTTTTCAATGTAAACGAATTCTAGCCTTCTTTAGCCAAATGCTTGGGTCATCTTAACAGATAGTTGTTGATAAAAAATATTTCTGGTGAATAAAGATTTCAGTACATGTTCCATTGACAGAAATTAAGATTAATAAGACATGGGTAAGAATTGTGGAGCATGGGTTATAACTTTTTATCCTCTTTTATTGGAAAATGAATAACAAATTTACTGTTTTACAGACGGAGAGACATTTCATCATGCAAGTTGTGTGCGAAGCAACCAAATCACCAGACACAAAGGTAATGATATTTTAGAATGTGATTTTACTTTTAATATATTTTAGTTACGATTGTTGTGTTGTGTCATTTATTCTGAGACCGGTCAAATCAAATTAAAAATGTCATTTTTCTTTGTAGAATGTGAATTCTAATTTTTTCTCTATTGCAGGTGAAGGGTGCTGCTTTGCAGTGTTTGGTGAAGATTGCTTCCTTATATTATAAACAAATGGATTCATACATGGGTCCTGCACTCACTTCTGTAAGTATTTTTTTTCTGCTTTCTACATAAAAATATCACTACTAAATTGTTCTTTGAAAAATGATCACTGTGAAATTAATTACTCTACTTTCACGATTTTCGTTGGTTTACAGATAACAATGGAAGCCATGAAGAGTGATGTAGATGAAATTGCCTTCCAGGGAATTGAATTTTGGTCCAATGTTTGTGAAAAAGAAATAGCTCTTGCTACTGGATTATCGGAGGTCTCTTCCATTTATGAAACTTCAATGCAATTAAATAGCATTTCAAAACGGGCTTGTTATATACTTAGTATACAAGCTTACATGGACAAAAGTCTCATCAAATTTTTCTTATAACTGTTTATTCATTATAGACTTCTTCTACAACGCTTTTAAAATCAGGGAAACTGGCTACAAAGCGTTTAAGGTGTTTTGTTGTTTTAACGTCCCTCTCGAGAATTTTTTACCCATATGGAAACGCCACCACTTGCCGGTGGAGGGCTGCAAATACACATACTTGGCATTCAGGGCCACTGAGCAGTGAGGCATCTTTTTCGTGCCGGTTTATACGGTCTCATCCGAAGGACCAGACTCTACGTCCCGCAGTGGAATTTGAACCCGCGACGTAAACTGTTGTGCATGCAAGAGCAACCTTATAAGTGAGGTTACACTAGGATTTCATGGGGGGAAATGAATAATACATTCACAAATTACTTTTCTACGTCATTTTTGCGGTGCTTGTATGTACAAAAAAAGTTCTGGACAAAAATGTCAGGACTACTAGGTTTCAAGTTATTTTGACAAGTGAAGTATATATTTCTTAAGTACGTGATTTTATCGAAATAAGTCCAAGGTATGTCTTCTTTTCTTTCGATCAGGCTGCTGAGCAAGGAATGCCCTCAGAGAGAGGAAGTCGATTCTACATTCAAGGAGCTTCCATGTATTTATGTCCAATCTTGTTACAAACACTGACAAAGCAGGTAAAATATTTACATAGATCAGTTCATCGCCTGTTCTTACTGATGATAGAAATTGTTTCAAGAAGGGAAAAATTAAGATAGAGAACAACATTAAATTCGATTCGGAAAATATACGAAACATCATTATTGATGAGAGAAGTTGTTTCAAGAAGGGGAAAAAATTAAGATAGAGAACATTAAATTCGAGTTCGAAAATATACGAAACATCAGATTAAAAAGTAAATTGAAGCTGGAAAAAAAGCCTGTCCACTTCTCTAAAGAGAATATCTAGAAGCTTACTTGGGGTCGAAAAGCGACGTGTTATATTGTTTTTAGTCCCCTACCGGTGAAACCGGAGGGGACTATAGGTTTCCTCTGAGTCTGTCCGTCCGTCTGTCTGTCTCTCCCTCTGTCTGTCTGTCAGTTTGTCCCACTTGGTTTTCCGCACTTTTTTCACAAACGCTTGCAGATATTGAGCTGATTTTTGGTATGTGAGTGTATCTTGATGAGTTATAGATCAAGTTTGCATTTCGTTCCGCTTCATTGACTTTTGACGGAATTATGGCCTTTTCAATTTTTAAGAGTTTTCCGCAATTTTCTTCTAAACGCTTTCAGATATTGAGCTGATTTTTGGTATGTGACTTTACCTTGATTACTTATAGATCAAGTTTGCATTTCGTTCCTCTTCATTGATTTTTGACGGAATTATGACATTTTCAATTCTTAACGGGAACCAGATTACACTTGCCGGTAGGGGACTAGTATTGCTAATGCAATACTCTCAGAATGCTTGTTGTTTTGGGCAAAAGCACAATTCTCGGAATTTCTCATGTATTTTAAGCTGTAGCCAAGTATTTGTTTGGAATATGATTTATAGTGTCCTTAGATGAGCAGTAAGGTTTTGAAATTTTCATTTTTATCCACAATGCCAATTTGGTGCTGTACTTTTAAAACGCCTTTTGGAACACTTAATCTTTCTTTCCAAAACTCATTTTCAAACAGAACTAGATGCTGTCGCAAGACAGTAATAAATAATACTTAGAGGAAAGTGTTTACCTTTAAAATTATTCTACGGTGTACTAGGTAACTAGTAAAGAAGATCCCAGAACCTTGTTGCATATCTACAGGACACCATCCATCATGTTTAAGAATAATGACGTTTTCTGGCCCTCAATTGGCCTCCCTGATAAAAATGAAAATTTCGAAACCTCATTGCATATCTGATGGACATTACTAATCATATTCCAAAAGAATTGACTTCTGCATAAAATTTAAGAGGCATTCTGGTAACGAGGTTTCCAGAAAAAATGTTTTTTTTTCTCACCAATTGAAAGAACACAAAGGAGAATATACTTGTGTACAGGTATTACTGTTGTATGACAGAATCAAGTTTCTAAATTATAAATAACTGTTTGAAAGTGCTTAAATGCATTGTTATTTTATAAGTAAGTTAATATTTTTACAGGATGATGTGGACAATGATGAATGGAGCATAGGTAGGGCTGCCGGAGTCTGTCTGAGGCTAATAGCAACTGAGCGCAAAGATAATATTGTACCCCTCATTTCACCCTTTGTGATAGGGAACATAAGTGATGGAAATTGGCGTTATCGCGTGGCGGCTGTTATGGCTCTCGGTTTGTTGATTTTTATTGTATTATTTTTTTGATTAAGCTTTTAATTTACTGTAAGAGCTTCAAAATTCCACTGATATTGGATAACCAAGCCTTGCATTAACTGTTGTAATAAATACTAATTTTCTCCTGTTTGCTAAAGAAATTTTAATTTCGCAGGGCCAATTTCTCTTTTGATATTTAAAAAAAGAACTTCCCTCAAAGGCCTGTATTTTGATCAATGTTTATATATGTGTATTCCAGGTTCAATATTGGAGGGTCCAGATCCTGAAATGCTTCAGCCAATTGTAAGACATGTCATGCCTATGCTTATTCAGTTGTTGAATGATCTCAATATTATCGGGAGGATCACAACAGCCCAGATTATGAGGCGGATCTGTAAAATCGTACCAAAACCCATTATTACTGGACATCAAGTCTTACCGAGTTTTCTTTCTGCCTTGATGAATGGCCTTACTGCTGGGCCAACAGTCGCCAGTCAGTTTTGTTGGGTGTGTTTCCAAGTGTAATGTGTTCCTTTATAGTTACGATGGATATTTATATCCGTAGATCAATTTTAATTTTCAACATTTTCAAATTCTGTGCCACAGATTAACCAAGTTTAATAAATTTGGTGTTAAGCCATAACATAGAACAGTACTGTCATGTTCTAAATTTTGAATTTACCGGGTGGGAGTAAATACAAAATTTAGAACATGACAACTAAATTTTGTATTTACTCCCACCCGGTAAATTCAAAATTTAGAACATGACAGTACATATGATAAATTTATAGATAGTAAAAAGCTTTTAAATTTTCCAGGATAAATGATTTCGTTTCTCCAGACATTGATTGCATTTTAATTTTTGGTCTGCAGACCATCTCGAGTTTAGCAGAGGCTGCCTACGTTAGTGCAAGTCCGGAGGGCGACCCATCTACATACTGTTTATCCACTTCTTTTGCAACCATTGTAGAAAATCTAATTCAAGTCACCGACAGGTACTTTATTTATATGACTAATTAGCTCAATTAATTAACACTGTTCGTAAATTTCAACAGAATATAAGTTGTTAAAATAGGGTTGCACTAAAGGAACACTTTGACAGAACGTTTAACAATATTTATATCAATTTTAATTTGTTAATTTAGATCAGATGGAAACCAACATAACTTAAGAAATGCAGCATTTGAAGCACTGACAGAAATGATCAAAAACAGCCCTAAGGTAAGTTTGATACATGTATTATCAAACTTCTGTGTGTTTTACCGTTTGAACTTTCATATATTTGTAATGTTTCTTATGTTAATTTTTGTATTTTACCCCAGGACTGTTACGGGATTGTACAGAAAACAGCAATTGGTGTTTTAGAGAAACTAGACAGACTGCTGCATATGAAAGTAAAACTTTTTTCCTAGCTGCCGTTTTTACCTTATAGAACTACATGTAATTCAAAGGGTTTATCTTGTTAGCTGAGACTCAATTTCAAAAGCATTTTATTTTCATGATGCAAACTTTATTATATCAGTTTTTTTAGTACTATTTATGTTTGCAATATTTTTTGAGTTTATTTGTTTTTTTTTTATGAAGTTTAAAAGTGGTCTCATCATTTTCTTTACACAGAATAAGATTCAAGTCCCTACAGATCGTGCCCAATACAATGAATTACAATTCTTGATTTGTGACACATTACAGGTAAATTGATGTCAATGTGTGATCATGATTTTTTTTAATTAAAATTGCATAGTTATTTGAGACACTATAGTATACTGTGTTTTCATTAATATTCGTGGGCATCAATTTTCGTGGATTTAGTAAATATCACAGTTTCGAGGATACGTAAATTCGTGGATAATGGTCCGAAAAGAAAAAAAAATTGTCTGTCATCTTTTCATATTTTCTCGCGCCGTATGCTTTAGCGGGAAACATCATGCAATTCAAAATGTTAAGAGTACGTAAATATTTTTAAAAAATTACTAACAGGTGAAAACTTTTATTTATTATTTATATTTTACTCATCTGTATTTTTCAGAAGTGGGAATCATACTGCGTTTACAACGCAGTATGGTGTAACAATAAAGGCTGCGGCATCCAAATACTTTCTCCGCTGTAACACTTTGAGCTCGCTGGGCCAATTAAATATCGGATATTGAAATAGAATATTAAAGACAATTAATTAAAAAAAAAGACTTTTATTTAATCATCGTTTTGGGGAAAAGATGTGCAAGTATCTCAAAATATAAAGAAAATTTGAATTTATCATTTAGGCGCACATGTGTATACGGACGATAATTAAGTGTGGCAACAGGATATTAAAAGTAACAACAATTAAGTATTTTCAATATACAAAATTGTTTAGATACTTATTTTCACATGCACGGAGTGTGTTTCTGATCTTGACAGATATCAAGACCCCCTTGTTTGTAGATCTCCGAAGAAACACATGTATATATGCTCGCTGGATACGACTTCACGCTTAAAGCCGTGATAGGCTTCGAAATGGCAGAACTTTCGCAACATACATACCCGTTATCACTTGTTAACAAAAATATGTTTCTAAGCAAATTAACAGATAAAAATCAAATGAGCATTAAATTGTGTTGATAATTTGTATGAATTTAGCCTGTTTTGAACAGAGAGTAATTAATTATTTCTATCGGAATTTTTATTTAACGATAATTATTTGTTTTCATTGTGCAAGTGATAATGGGGGTTGGACCCTTATATATTGTTTGAGAATAACAAATCTAACACATTTACGCCTGATTATCATCATTTTTAGTAATACCTCTGATTGGTATGTGTACTGCGTAGACAGGTCTACGTGTTGTTTGTTTAGCTCAAGAATTAAAACATTTTTACTCAAAAAGTCCAGATAATTATGTAAAAGTGTTTCTTTCATCTTTTTTTTTTTAATATTCTTAAAATGATGAAATACGTTTATAAAGTTGATCGACTCGACAACGAAATCCACGAAAATCGGTGTTCCACGAATAATGATGAAACCACAGTATGACATTTACATTGAAGCGGAGACATTTTTCTTTGCATTGTAAAGATTAAATTGTGTAGCTTGTATTGATTTAAATAGATTTCATGGATGCATGATGCTGGATTTTTTTTCAGAGTGTTCTTAAGAAATTGACGCGTCAAGATGCTCTCCGGATCTCTGACCAAGTGATGGGTGTTTTGTTGCGTATGTTTACAACCGGCGTTCAAGAAGATGCTCTTCTGACAGTGTCCACACTAGTAGAAGGTACAAATAGTACAGATGCTTTTGTTTTAATATTAGTTGAAATTTTAAATCACTTAAATTTCAATGCAATACGTATGCTGTCCTGCAGACTTTCTCTTCGTATAAGAACAACCGTACTTTTTGGACGATATATCCGTATTTTTCTTTCCTTGTAGGCACTGGACTCAACCTAATAAGCAGATTGTTTTTCATTTAAAACTTGTGCGATAATATTACAACTTTTCAGATTTGCTATACCTTTTCTTTTGATACTGATTAAAATATTAACAACCGTTTCCAAAACATTATTCTGGCAGCCCATAAGATTTGATCTTCATTAAAGTGACAGTATGGCGCATCTCATCAAAAAACTGACTAGATAAAATTTTCCGACAAGATTTGGAATTTTTTACTACTCATAAATGTATAAACTTTCAGAAAATTACAACTTTTACAATTAAATAATTTGGATTATCTCATTAAAATTAATAGTTATTTATGGGACGTAAATATATACATCACAACGTGTTCGGGGTTCCACATTCCATGCTGTGCACGCATGCGTAGTTCTCATAAACAAAACAGCATGGTTAGAGAGGGAATCCCGGTAGGCCTGCTACATTGACAAATTCGACTAAAAATAAAAATAAACTGAAAATAGAACTTGAAAAAGCAACTTTCCTGACTAAAATTTAGTTTGGGGATTAACATAATCGCTGGGTAAGGACGAAACGGGAACTCGGCGACACTCACGCAGGGCTCTCGAAGGTTTGTTGATACTTGTTATCATTTCTCATTTTTCCGTCGCTTTCAAAGAAAAAAATAGTGTAAACGCAACATAAAAAATACATCTTTGACTTATAAATATTGTTGCCATTTGAAATGCTAATTTTTTTTAACTGTGCAGAAAAATTTTTTGTTTGACATTTGCCGCGATAACGTATTTTCCTTTCTCAGACCCCAATACACAAAACGTCAACATTTGTACTTTTAATTCTGTTAAATTCGCCTGAATGCAGACTAAAATCTTTACGATCATTATTTCAGATTATTTTATCAGGATGTTATGATAATTTGTGTTTTTGATAATTGTTTTCATCTAATATTCATTATAACTATAAACTCTACAGTGTAGGCACGTGCCGCTTTAGAATTCACGTGGTACAAATAAACAGATCTAAGATTGCTCCAGTTCGTACGACCCTTGATTTTCCGGCAGATTCTAATTATGTTAATTTTGATTGAGTAGAGAATATTTCTGTTTCTCAAACTGCTTACGTCAACTTTATATCTTATTTCTTAATGACATATTGGGTAAATTTGGATGAAAAAGCACACATTTTGCAGCCGTACTGTCGCTTTAAACAATTGGATGTGGGATTCAGTATTCTTACTTAGACAGAATATGGTGAATACTCTACGGAAAAGTGCTTTTGCAATAAATAAATTCTCTTGTAGTTTTAGGTGGGAATTTTGCAAATTATGTGGATGCATTTAAACCAAGTTTGATTGCTAGCTTGAAGAATTCTGAAGAACATTCAGTAAGTTAAGTTTTGTTCATCAATATGCTTAGAAATACATATGGTTATGTTTTGAACTAATCTTTATAATAGTATAATATACCCTTTGGTTTTGAAGTATACGATAATTCTTTTCCAATTTAAAGGTATGTTTGGCTGCTATAGGTCTAGTGAGAAACTTATGTCAAGCTCTAGGAAGAATGATGTCGCCATATTGTGATGAAATTATGTTATTGTTGGAGAATTTATGGGTAATTGGCTTAAACTTTACCTTGCTTATTTTTCTTAGCATTTTCCATTCATTTAAAAGTAAAAGAATTTTTATATATGTAATTGTACAAGATGTGACACACTTTTTCTTCAGAATTCCAATTTGCATAGGTCAGTGAAACCTCATCTTCTCTCTGTGTTTGGCGAGATTGCATTGGCCATAGGACCTGATTTCAAGAAATTCCTGACCAAAGTCATGACTATTCTACATCAAGCCTCCCAGGAGAAGGTGGAAAAGGTACGTCTTCTATAATGGTAAAATCTTATATATGAAGCATAAAACAAACTATAATTTTGGTTCAAAGATTTTAATGCTTATGGTATTCTTTTTTCTGTTTGTTTGCTTTTATTTTTATTATTTTTTATATCACATAATTTGGAAGAATGTTGTAGACTTTTTCTGTTGTCTACCTTCAAGCTGTATTCGCCTCTGTAGTCTTCCCAGTTATCATAAATCACATCCTTACAATAGCTTAGCATTGGTATTAATTAATTAATGACCATGTTGTTGGTCTTGATCTTATTAGTTGTCATATAATTTGATCATATTTCAAAGGTCAGTAATACTGGCCAGTGACAAGATATTAGTAAAATGTATAGCTGCAGATCTTAAGCTCGCTGGTCTAAAAAAATTGGGATGGACGATCAAATTTTCTCAGACCAGCGAGCTACAGATCTGCAGCTTTAAAATTTTATATAGATCATAACTATGAAACTTTTGATTGAAATGCATTCAGGGACATGTCAATAAGGTATAAATGGTTGAGGACAAGAGGTATGGTCTATTAAGAGGGAAAAAATTTCTATTTTGGGTTTTAATAAGTAGAGTAAGACATAGGAATTTAATACTTTTACAGACTGATTTAGACATGATTGATTACCTGAATGATATAAGACAAGGTTGTCTTGAGGCCTACACAGGAATTGTACAGTGTTTTAGAGAAGGTGGGAAATGTGAGTTAACAGTTATGAATCATTTGAATGCAAATTATGATTATACTTGTTTCTTCAAGTTCTCCTATGGATTTTTTGCTCTAAAAAACCCAATGATTTATATACAAAGAACAAATTACGCATTGTGTAATCTTTTCTTGGCATGTTCAATTTCTTGCACTTCTCTGTTGTATCAGCCATTAATTGTCATTTTATTGCATGCAGTACTAATGATAGTGTAATTCACAGGGCTGTGGAAATAATGTTTTTCATTTTGATACTTTACAATATTTTGTAGTGGATGACGTTTATTTATTACTGCCATATATTTCCCAAATAATGTCCTTCATAGAGAATGTTGCAATGGATGAGGATCATTCGATGGAAAATATATCAGCCTGCTGTGGACTCATTGCGTAAGTTACATTGCCTTACTTCGTAAGTCAAATGAGGTTAGGGTGGACCTATTAGGACTGAGAAGTTAATTTACATCAAATGTGGACTTACTTATACATGTAAATCAGGAATAGTCCACTTTGATGACAATACAGATACATTTTCCAGATTGATATTTATTGAGTGAATAAAAATAACGATCAGCAGTAGAAATGTTTTAAACCATAGAAAAATTATACTGGATTAACTGCACTCTATCTTGAACACACCACATTGCAAGAAATGGTTTTTTTTTCTTTTTAAGGAGAAAATATACTTTGAATATTTCAGTAAGTCAGAAACCAGACAAGAATCCTACCTAAAGGTTAAAATTGATACTCCAATAAGAGAGATATTATCCCTTTATAAAAATGTCAAATTAAAAGGTCATTTCTGTAAAATTTTGCCCCGCAAGGTTTGCTGAAATTGTATGCATTCTTAATCTGAATTTGATTTCTTTCGGAAATCATAAGCATTAAGGAAAAAAATGTATGTATAGTGAGCAGAGGGTTGATGAACCTTAAGCATGTTGAACTTTTAACAATACCATAGAAACTATATCAACAAATATTTCATCCAACGGTTCCAAGAGATTACAAAAGAACAGCGTAAACAATCATAACAACTAAGATGGGGAAAGTAAACAATCATGACATGATTTTTTTTTGGTATTTTAAAAAAGTCAAGATGGCAGTAAAGAATAAACTTGTATATGTTGTCCTTCCTAATGTCTATGCAATACCAGTATTTATAATGCTGAGTGTTGTGATACATCACAATGCAGTATCTTTGTTTTCTCTTAAATATTTTCTGCTCATTGAAGCTCAGACTCCTTTGCATTTTTTTTATATTATTTGAATATCTTCTATAGCATAGCAAAGTAATGGATAATTTTGTACTTTCAGAGATTTGTGTACAGTACTTGGAGTAAGAATGCTTCCATATGTTGATAAGGGGACAATTCAGGGATTGGTTACTAAAGGGCTAAATTCCAGTACTAAGAGAGTTAGAAATGTAGCAATGTGGGCTACTCAAGAAATAAACAAACTAAAAAGTATTTCATGGTAAGGTCTTTTCCACATTTGCTCTTCTTGCTGATACAGATATGTTCAAAATATCAAAATATTTAGGTTTTTACTGGATGCATAAATGTAGAATACAAAAGTAGCCTAGAATAATTGTTAATTCTGATTAACAGAAATCGTTCATTTAATGGTCATTAGTTCATAGTTCTAGCTTCCTTTCTTTACTGTAATTTGTATCTTCCACAAGGCTATCTGACATTGTTTAAAAAAAAAAGATTTTGAGATACCATGTACAGTGTAGTAGTACAAAAAAATTCTAATTTGTAGGTACATTCATTAACCAATCTATATATTCGTTTTTATTTCAGAATCTATTTAACAAAATGGTTACTATTTTGGAATTGATACCAGTTGAAGAAGACACCACTTCAAACAGAGAGAGAGAGAGAGAGTTTGGCCTAAACACCATACACTGGAAACACTTGGGAATAGAGAATGGAATAAAAATAATCAATTATTACCTTATAATTCAATGTTTACAATGTGATCAAAATTGACATTTTAAACTTTAAATGATACAAAATATAATCTGCATTCTTATAAAACGTGTGTCAGATTCTACCTTCCCGAAATTATGCATTTTTATATGTAAAACTAATGAAATTTTTCTCTGTGTTCTGAAAATTAAGTGAAAAAATAAAGTTTTATTATCAAATATGGTGTATCATCTGATTTTAAGTAAATTAAATAAGGTTCATGTGTTCTTGTAATTGAAATCGATGCAAAGATTATTCATCGAAAAATTTTATGCAAAAAAGGGATATGCTCTATGTAAAGTCATCTTTATCACCATTGAGTTTACCCATGAAGTCTTTTTCTGTACAAATGTAAGACACTTAGAATAACATGAATGTGGCAATGCATTGCAATGTATCTAATATTTATGCAAAGTTACCATTGAAATTCAAAAATTTTCTATTAACATAAGTCTAAGGAGTCGGTAAGAGCTCTCGTGTTTTAAATTGATAGTGTGATGAACGGTTACTAGTCACGTGAGCTCACAAAACAGTTACCCGGTACTTTTCAAAAACTGCAACAATGACCTTTTATTTAATTCTTCACAACAGAAAGAAATCGGGAACTCTTTTGTGTGTAAGTATTGTTTTAACTGCACCGAGCACGTGCAATTTTTCTTTCACACCATATCTTAATTCCTACAAAATTTGTTTAGAATGTTTTTTCTTAAAACTATTTTTGTCCTAAAAAAATTAACTCGGTCACAATTCTGATTTATACGTGATGAGTAACACATTCCTTTGCAGAAAGAAAGATATCTCAAGATTAAAATATCTGAATTTTAAGTAAAACAAATCTTACTTAAAAGTGAGTGCGACTTATATTTGATGAAGCACATGTTGTGCATAGGTTACATTTGCAGTACTATGCACGTGCCTTTATACCCAGAAACAAAGAGAATGTTTTCTCTTTGTAAATTACCTAAATATATATTATCCCACCACGAACTCCAAGAAATCTTGAATTTATACTAATCTCTCATATGCTTAATTGGCTGTATTTTTTGTGAAATTTGCATATGGTAACCCTGGATCTACTCATTGACAAATAATTTCCCTTTGAACAACGTAAGTACAACGTTCATATATTGTGAATCTCTCTTTCTTTCTCTCATACAAAAATAGTCATAACCATTTATATCGTAATAAAAAAAAAAGTGTGGCTTTACAATGGCTTTACAACTTGAAGTAAAAACTTGATTTGACGATTATGCTTTATAAATAGGACAGACTTCCAGCATCAATTTTGTGCATTATATGCAATCTTCAACTATTGAAACAGAGGTTTTCATGTTGTCTGCCCTGTCAAGGAAAACGATACTGCTTTATACTGGACAATATTTTATGATAATGAGCTTGAGCAAAACATTTCACAATTTGGATAAATGGACGACCCCCGTTTAATTCTGAGATTAAATATCAAGACTTTGTACAAGAAAAATCAGTTACTGATATACAGACAGTGCTTATATTAAATATTATAACAGCTTTAGCAGTTAAACTTTTAACATTAAATCATGAGGAAAAACTTACATGTTTCAAGAGAAATAAATCATTAGAATTTACAACTTTTTATTATTTTTTTTTTATTGAGATAGTTATAGATTTCTAGATTTAAACTTTTAATGTAACAAATGCATGCCTACTGAAGGACAGGATCTTGTTTTCAATAATAAATAAGATCTTCAAACTGACCGAAAAATAATATGGAAATACATGTATACAAATATCTATTGTGAATCTTTTAGATATATTGAATCTCTCTCTCTCTCTCTCTCTCTCTCTCTCTCTCTCTCTCTCTCACAAGTTTGGTTTGTTTCTAATGTCAAATATCTGGATTTAAAATTATCTACGCATGAATAATGTTAAATGTTAACAAGTGAAATTGCAAGCTTTTAGTTAAGAAGCTCTCCAATTTTCATGCATTTCACTCGATCAGATACATTGAAAATGAATTTTTAAAATTATTTCATTTTTTTTTGGGGGGGGGGGACTTTTTGGTCTTGTTACTCAAAAGTTAAATATGGGTGGTCTGACCTGAAGGTTTTAAAACTTTCTGAGTACATACTCCGTGCTCAAACTCATATTCCGTACTCCAAAACCATACTCATGCTCCAAAATTCCACTCTTATTTGTATATAAAGTTTGAGTATCTGTGGTATCAAAGAAAGGAGGGTGAGTTCGTACACGGAGAACATTGCACGTACTCAAAAAGTTTGATAACCTCAAGAATTCTTTATCTGAAGATGACAATCGATGTCTTCAGTGTTAGAATTGTACATAATCCTAGCTTTTTATTGATACATAATTATGGATAAATAGAAGCATACGAAAATTCAAATTTGTTGTGTTGTAATATGATGTAATTTTTGGAAAAGCGAATTTTAAAACTTCAGCTAATGATCACCAAATTATAAATTGATGGACATTGAATTGCTTTGTAGACAGAACACTTTTGGAAAACAAATATCATTACTGATTTTTTTGTACTTTATTTGATTGAATACAAAGAAAATGCAATGATTATAAGCACTGTCAATGCCAAGAGTTTCTTTATTTAACCTTGAACAAGTTATGTAAGAAGTATTATCTATAGAAAATGCTTTTTATGTAAGTTTAACCCTATATACTGAATGAAGAATTTCCTATTTTAACCCACTTTAACATCATCTAGATGTAAACTGTATTTGGTCGCAAAGATAACGCTATAACTAAATTTTAATTCAAGTATTCCAGTAATATTTTCTGACATAATTATTTTTAACATATAATAAGTGTCTTTGAAAGAGATTGTATATATAACATGTAAATAACTGGACATTTTCATTATTGTCATTTAATTGTTCAACAGGAAAAAAAGTTTTCCAAGTTGGAAAACTTAAATACAATCCTTTGTATTTATTAAACATTAAAATATGTTCAACACAATATCTTCTGCTGAGAATTCATAAACTGAGCTAAATTTTTATAAAACAAAGCTTTATGCTTGGAAACAGAATTGCAGAATACCGTCTGATAAAGTTAGTGGTGGTAAATATTCTAAGATTTACTCTTGATACGAAAAAAGAATAGTTATACTATATCAATCTCTAGATTTAGGGCCAGACCCAATTTTTAGCTCACCTCGACAAAGTCGAGATGAGCTTATGCTATAACCCCGGCGTCGGCGTTAGCGTCGGCGTCCCGGTTAAAGTTTTAGGAGCAAGTCCCATTCCCAAGTAACTATTAGCCCTACCTGGACCAAACTTGCATTGATGATGCATCTAGGGATGGACACTACCACATTTGCATCGGATGCTGGATCTGACCTAGATTTTTCAGATGAGTGACCAGGTTGAAGTTCTTAGAGCAGGTCCATTCCCAAGTAACTATAAGCCCTACCTTGACCAAACTTGCATGGATGATGCATCTAGGGATGGACACTATCACACTTGCTTCAGATGCTGGATCTGACCTAGATTTTCCAGATGAGTGACCAGGTTAAAGTTTTAGGAGCAGATCCATTCCCAAGTAACTATAAGCCCTACCTTGATCAATCTTGCATGGATGATGCATCTAGGGATGGACACTACCACACTTGCTTTGGATATTGGAACTGACCAAAATTTTCTTGATTACTAAACAGGTTTAAAGTTTTTTGAGCAGGTCTATTTCCAAGTAACTACAAGTCCTACTTAAACCAAACTTGCAGGATATTGATCTTGGGATGTTCCCTAACTAGAAAAAAAATATGATGTGAAATTTGCCTTACTTATAGATAACATTCGTCGAGGTGAGCTTCGTAATCTTTGATTACCTATGTTTATTGATGTAAAAGGCTGAAAATATATGTATCACTGAATTATTTATCTTAGGAAAACCTACTTGTGTATCATGGATTAAAACTGTAGGAGGACAAGCATTTTAAAAGAATTTCACAGAAACTTCTATAGTTTTAGTAGCCTTGGGAAAAACAAAATCAAAAACAGATATATATATTTTAGTAGTCTACTTGTGTTCCAAATTTTACTAAAATCGGACAAACCTGAAAGAAGGGTAGTGTTTGGAAAGAATTATAAAGGTTTTTTGCTCACCTGAGCAGAAGGCTCAAGTTGTCGTTGTTGTAAACTTTTTTTTACAATTTCATCTTCTTCTCCAGAACCACTGGGCCAATTTCAACCAAACTTGGCACAGGGTATCCTTGGGTAAACGGGATTCAAGTTTGTTCAAATGAAGGGCCACACCCTCTTCCAAGTGAAGATACTAGTAATTAAGAAAAGGTCAAAAATGGGTTGGGTCATTTAAAAATCTTCTTCTCAAAAATCACTAGACCAGAAAAGAGGAAACTTATGTGAAAGTTTCTTGACATAGTGTACATTCAATTTTGTTCAAATCATAACCCTCGGGGTAGGGTGGGGCCACAATATTAACTGGCGATCAAAGTTTTACATAAGAAAGCAGGAAAAATCTTTAAAATTCTTCTCAAGAA